TTTTTTTTTTTTTTTTTTTTTTTTTGTAATTATTTTTGCAATTGTATTTTTCTAGATTCCTATTAATATCTGACTTTCTTTTGATAGGATTGATGTCACTTGCACATCCAATTTTAGACTTACTTTTGTTTTCATCGATTATTCAAACTTAAAGTTTCTAATATCAATAGAATATGAATCGTCTTAGTTCCCAAAATTCATTAGACTATCCTTCTGGAGGCATTTTTTTAATCACGCCGCTATGCACGACTTACAAAGTTTCTTTTTCTATTTTTGTAATTGTATTTTTCTAGATGGTTGTCTTAAATTTTGTTTTTTTTTTATCACCTGTATTTTCTAGATGTTCGTCTCAACAGTTTCTTTATTTTCTTTTATTGAGTGTAAACTGTTGAGACGAATATCTAAAAAATAAGGGAGATAAAAAAAAAACTTTTAAGATGACCATCTAGAAAAATACAATTGCAAAAATAAAAAAAGAAACTTTGTAAGTCGCGCATAGCACGTGTGATTAAAAAAAGTTTTTCGCATGCGCAGGCAAAGAGGCTAGTCCTTAATAATCTCATTGTTTTGTCAATGTATTGGACACACAATCTAACCATCATTTTCTCCGTTGTTATTAAAGATGGGGTGACAGCATTATTTCATCAGATTAAATTGCTATTAGTACTATAAAATATTAATCTTGCTCTCCTTCCTCCGTTATTTTTTCTCAGATCAGATTAACATGCTAGAGATCCACATGATTAGTTATTTTGTAAACTTCCTTCCGCGCAGTCAATATAAATTGCAAGCCATAAATTATTTTATATATTTATATATTTATTTGGTCAGAAAGCCATAAATTATTAATGCTACATTTCTGTTGTAATATTACATCTCTAACCATGATTTGACACGTTCAAATGTGGAATCCTACATGCAAGAAGGTAACCCCACGTTACCTTATTACATGTAACTGGCTAGAAGCCTAGAAAGTGTTCAAATTTGAAACAATTCCAAGTACAAAACCACCTTTGATATGACCCAGTTGAGCCCCTACTTTTAACAATCCTCCAAATTTAGTGGCATGGACAAATTTAGCAGAAGAACCGCACTGTTTCTTTTTTGGTTCATCATCGTCTCACTTCAGATTCCGTCGACGATCGGGGAAGGACAACAACAGGTTGAGAAGAATGAGCAAGAGCAGACTACATTTGGAAAAACAATGCAAGATACAGTCAATGTGCTCTATGATACAATTTCTGTCCTGCAAAAGTCTCATCAAAATGCCTGGGACAAAGTCAAAACCATCATAAGTGATATGCAATTGCAATTTTCCCCTCCAAATCTAGAGTAAGTGCTTCTGTTGCAAGTTTGCTACTTTCATGAAAAACTAGTAACAAGTTCACCCCATCTTTTCAAAGATGGCATTTCTTTTCACATGGAATTTTAGAAAAATAGCAAAAAAATTGCATCGCCTAAGGTATTCGGTTTAATGTGTGGCAACCCTATGCACCCCAATTTTCTACTATTCTCGAAAAGTTTTACAAAAAGTCTTAAAGTTTGATGCCAAGTTTCTCAAATTGCTTTATCAGTTTCAGGGGTGCAGATGAGGCAGATGGAAAGGATAGTAATTTTCTACTATTCTCGAAAAGTTTTACAAAAAGTCTTAAAGTTTGATGCCAAGTTTCTCAAATTGCTCTATCAGTTTCAGGGGTGCAGATGAGGCAGATGGAAAGGATAGCACTGGCGGTCTTGGTATGGGAGCGAAATTGAAAGAGGCAGCTCACAAGAGTTTTGAAACAGGCAAACACACAGTTGAAGAATCCGCAAAATCAGCTGGCGAAGCAGTGGGAGAGACAATGCATAAGACAGCAGAAAAGGTAAAGGAAAAGGTCTCTCATGAAGAGCCCCATGCAGAGCTTTAAGAATTTTTTGATGCTTAATTCGTAGGGTTAAGGCTTTTTTGGCTTAAAGATTTGTTTCATTGTAAACTTGTATCAATCTGCATTCGTTCAGTTTGATAACTTTATATCAAAATGAAGAGTTATGAAGATTCAGCAATAAGCAAATCAATGATCTCACATTTTACCCTTTCTTTGAAATAATTAAAGACAGACTTTCTTTATTAAAAAGCCTAACACATGATCATGAAGTGTCCGAACTTCCTTCGTGTTACTGCTCTCGAAAGGCCTTGAAAGGGCCAAAGTCTTCAAGTGAGAAATATCCTCCTCACAGAGTAACAATTTCACAAGTTCCATTAACCATTTGCAGACAAAAGTAAAACCAAAATAAATGAGAACAAAACATTTAGGGATGCTAAATTCAATGTCATCTAAACCTAATAGATGCACAAACATTGGCTTTGTAAATACCTGATATCAAGCCCACCAAGCGAGCCCGTCAAGCTTAAAGAAACAAGCACCTAAATCGACATCAGTTGCAAACTCAAAGACAAGAAAGCACCTATATATGCTGAACGCCAGAGATATATCAAGGTAATTCAAAAATCAACAATCAAGTTTGTGCCAGAAATCAGCCTTAAGAGCAATCAAGCACAAAAATTTAGTCCAAACTTATTAAAATTGATAGCCGATAATCGGAGAATATGTCACAAAATGATAGTATCCAACACTATGATAACTCGACTTGTAATACACATTCCTCTTTTAAGTTGAAAAAAATATACTAAGAATAACTGGAAGAAGAGAGTTTTAGACATTCACTCTGGCATCTCCGAAGGCATATGTCATTCCAGTTAGGTACTTGATGTTGGTTTACGCAAACAGTGCGTGCGCATGCATCAGCACATGCATCCAGCTCCGACACACCACATACAGTGACACAAGTATCAGGAATTGGGTCCTTTGAGAATGCACCTAGCTTTTTCAGCATTCTCTTGGATGTACATACCCTCTCACAGACAAAAATCTCATCAGAATTCTTCTCTCTCCCCCTGGCACTCTTTAATCTCTGCTCTTCAGCGCGCCTTTTCTTCACTCGAAATGCTTGTCCTGCAACCACTGCGGGGATCGCAGCTAATAAGGACCACCACACTTCCACCATCACCAATGCAAGGTCAACCTCTTCTTTAGCAGTCTTTAACTGAAATAGGAAATACAAGGAACTTAGTTATCCATTTAGTCATCAATAAACTGCTAGCATATACTTCATACAATTCTACAGGTCATTTCGCCGTAAATTCACTGACTATAATATAATCGAAGTCAATAAATTGGAGACATGGTGAGAGAATCCTTGAATTACATGTAACTCATACAACATCACAGTTTTCAGTAAACACGAATTTTTCTTAGAAAGAATGGAGGAAAACTGTAAACCAAAGTTCAACAAGTTGTTAATTATCGAGACTCGACACGACACAAACCCAACCATGAGAGAAACTAACCAACATTTAATCTCACACAAACATTTTCTGGGATTTAAACGCTGAACTCCAATAATATTTATGCACAAAAAGCAGAGGCTGTTTCTTTGTGACTCAACAACACCACCAATTAACAATTATTCCAAAAATAAAGGAAAAGAAGAAGAAAGAAAAACTACCACATTGATAAATCAAAATAACATGAAGCAGACTAGAAGGACTAAATCTCACACCCAAAGCTTAAACCAATTTTTTTTTTTTTTGTTGTTGTTACACTGTTTTCTCAGAGATTACAAATGTTCTCAGCCAAAGCAGAATAGCGAACTTCACTGAAAATGGTTAAGAATCAATGGGAAATTCAAAGGAAAAACAGAACCCTTGAAACTTTGAAATTGTTCAAAGAAGTAGAGCAGGAAGAAGACGAGTTGGAATATTTTAGTATGAACAGTTGGCTTAGGGTTTTGAAGACGGTTCTGGGTTTGGGAAGCATACCTGATATACGACGAGGCGTCTGCTCTTCTGGCCTGAGAGTTTGGGGGAGAGAGGAGAGACAGACAGACACAGACAGCGTATGGGCTGGGTAATTAGGTTGGAGGCTGGACTTGGGCTAATTGAAAGGGATAGCCCAAACATTTTGGTGGAGGTTTTGTTTATTATATATATATATTTTTATACAAATGATGTTAGGAGAGAGGAAAATCGGATCTAAGACCTCGAGTGCAGGGTAAAAGCTTTTAACTCTTAACCACTTAAGTTACAAGCCCCTTGCACTTTTATTTTTTCCTATTTGATCTTCAATTAATTAACAGAAGAACTTCTTAAATATATCTCATAAAACAGAAAAAGGAAAGAAAAAAAATCCAAAATAATCACTTCTTACCCAATTTCAATGCCACATCCAATTAGGCATTCCTAAGTAAATACCTTATTTGTGACACAAGTAAAAACTTACTCAAATCCCATTCAACCTCTAATTTGGGTAACTTGCTCCCTACTCTCTCCATATATATACCACCACCAAGACGAACACCTCTTCTTACATAAACAAACCCACATTTTTACAGGGTACGTTAAAAACCTATCTCTCTCTCTCTCTCTCTCTCTCTCTCTCTCTCTCTGTTGTTTCTACAAGTTTGTTCTACTCTTGATTTTTTTTGCCCTTGTTCAGAACACCAGTACTCAGCTTTGATTGAAAAAATAGATTAATTAGCAAAACTTGAAAACCAACCACCACAATTCTTCTGTGTTGTTGGATCCTTCTACTTTGAAAACTTGGTTTGAATGCTATAGAAAGAGTTTCTTAGTTTCTTGCGTAATAAGTTTTTTCTTTTTTTTTGGTGTTAAAGTTCTTGCACATTAAGCTACCTAGAGAAGAACAGTATACAATTCAGCTACTAGATTCTTTCAGTTTAATTGAAGTAAATTGGGTGAGATACAGTTTTGAGTTGTAATTGTGCCATCAATGTGGAAAATTGAATGAATGTCAGTTATTTATTTTTATTTTTTTAATTTGCAACAATTTGCTTGAATGAATGTCAGTTATTTCATATAATTTAATTCTTTTGTTCTTGTTATTGCTCTTCCTAACAGAGATTTGAAGCAAATAAGACAAGGAAAGAAACTAGCAATCCAACGATGAAGAAACAAAGCAAGAGCAGCAGCAAGTATGTGCCACGACAAGCATCAACAAATATTCAAACAAAACCACCACTTTATCCTTCTCCAACTCCTCCCCCTCCAAATTCAACCTGGTCTCCATGGATGGATGGCTTTACCAAGGCAGAGTCTAAAGATGAGAAAGATAAGATTGATGCTTACATAAACCACGCCCTCTATGATCCAAAGAAACACTTCGCAGTCCACGCTCCAACGAAGATTAGACGATTGCCAATTTTTGAAAAGATAGCCTTGTAAATTTTTTAATTTTGTTTATTTATTCCATTTTGATCAAGGAAGATTAGGAATTCGAACTCCATACATTTTTCAACATTAAAAGGGCAATGCAATATTAGATATGGTGCTGATCTACACAATTGTAACTATTTAAGATGTTAGGTCATACGTTGTAACTTCAACAATCTAGGGCTCCTCCATGATCATTCAGAATCGAAGAAACTCTAGTATAGGCATCCCAACTAAGAGAGCAAACTCAGAATAAACAAAAATATATAAAGCTTGAAAAAATCAAGTCATAACAATACAAATAAAACTCTCCCAAATGAGATGTGAAAACTATACAGAAAACCCAAAGAGTCTCTGCAACTTATTCCAAACATAAAGAAACAACATAAAAGATCACTAATAAAAAAAAAAACCCTTGTGCGACCAAATTTTGCGCGACGAAAAACTATTCGTCTCTCAAAGTCACTTTGCGCGACGAAACTCAAAACTTTGTCGCTCAAAGTCTTGCGCGACGAAAAACAATTCGTCGCGCAAAGTCACTTTGCACGACAAACTTTTGAGTGACTACAATACATCGTCCCTCAAAGTGACTTTGTGTGACGAAACAATAAACTTCGTCGCTCAAAGTCCTTACAAAAATTTAAAAAAAAATATTTTTAAAAATCTTTGCATGACGTAATCCAAACATTTCGTCGCCTAAACCAATTTATTTTTGTTTTTCATTTTGTACGCATAACACTTAAGAAATTAAATGGTATATATATTTATTAAGTAGCTTTAAATTTATTATTTTAGATCGGATCGGATTTTTGTTAGAAAAATATATTATTGTAGTTCGAATTGGGTTTTTGTTAGAAAATATATATTTTAAATTGATGATCGAATTAGTTCATTGTATTTATATAGGGTCAAGGAGTGTAGCTGTAAAAAATCATCAAAATCAGAGTTAATATAACCGTTAAATCGTGATTTTTCATTTATAACCGTCGAAAAGTTTTGTCCAATGACCTGATCTCTGAATGTTTATTTTTTCTAATTTTTGTCGTATATGATCTCGAAGTATAAACAAACAAGTTTGACAGTTGGATCGTTGAAACTAGTTTCGTAGAATGAACATGCCATTAAAACAATATATTCACTAACAATTAAGAGTTTATTTATACTTTCGTTAAATATAACATAAGATTTTGTGGTGTCCACTAGTGTAAATATTTTAAATTGAAGATCAAATTCAGTCATTGTATTCATATAGGGTCAAGGAGTGTAGCTATAAAAAAATTCATCAAAATCGGGGTTAAAATAACCTTTAAATCATGATTTTTCATTTATAACCGTCGAAAAGTTTTGTCCCGTTACTTCATCTCTGAATGTTTAATTTTTCCGATTTTTAGCGTATGTGATCTCAAAGTATAAACAAACAAGTTTGACAGTTGGATCGTTGAAACTAGTTTCGTAGAATGAACATGCCATTAAAACAATATATTCACTAACAATTAAGAGTTTATTTATACTTTCGTTAAATATAACATAAGATTTTTGTGCTATCCACTAATGTAAATATTTTAAATTGAAGATCAAATTCAGTCATTATATTCACATAGGCTCAAGGAGTGTAGCTGTAAAAAAATCATCAAAATCGGAGTTAAAATAACTGCTAAATCATGATTTTTCATTTATAACCGTTGAAAAGTTTTGTCCCGTTACTTGATCTTTGAATGTTTATTTTTTCTGATTTTTGGCGTATATGATCTCGAAGTATAAACAAACAAGTTTGACGGTTGG